TGTGTTTCTGATTGTGCTTATTTGATTTTTTTCTCTTTTTTTCTTGGTCAGTCTAGCTAGGGGACCATCAATCTTGCTTATCCTTTCGAAGAACCAGCTTTTTGTTTCATTGATTTTTTTGTATTATATTTTTGCCTTCTATGTCCTGGATTTGGGCTTTGATTTTGGTGATCTAGATTCTTCTGCTAAAATTAGGGTTTTGGTGGTCTTGCTTTTCCAACTTCCTTAGGTGGCTTGTTAGGCTATTAATTTGTGATCCTTCCATTTTCTTCATGTGCGTTTGTAGGGATATAAATTCCCCTGTTACTACACCTTTCATGGTGTCCCAGAGATGTTGGTAAGATGTTTCTTCATTTTCATTTGTTTCCAGGTACCTTTTAATCTCTGTTTTGATTTCATTGTTGACCCAAGAGTTGTTTAGCATCATGCTGTTTAGTGTCCATGTCTTTGTGGGTTTTGGAGGGACCTTGTATGTGTTAATGTTTATTTTTATTCCACTGTGGTCCGAGAAGGTACATGGTAAGATTTTGGTCCTCTTAAATTTGCTTATACTTGATTTATGGCCAAGTATGTGGTCGATCTTAGAGTACGTTCCATGTGGTGATGAGTAAAATGTATATTCTGTGGTCTTTGGATGGAGTGTTCTGTAGGTATCAATTAAGTCCATTTGGTCAAAGTCACATTGAGGTTTCAGATCTTTTTGCTGATTTTTTGTCTTGATGATCTGTCTAGGGTGGTGAGTGGGGTATTGAAGTCCCCAGCTATGATGGTGTTGGAGTCGATATCTTTTTTAATTTACCTAGAAACTACTTTATGAAAGTTGGTGTTCCTATGTTGGGTGCATATATGTTTAGGATGGATATTTCTTGTTGATGGATTAAACCTTTTATCATTATGTAGTGGCCTTCTGTTTCTTTTTTGATTTTTGATAGCTTAAATAGTATTTTGTCTGAGATTAAGATCACGACTCCTCTTTTCTTTTGTGTTCCGTTCACCTGAAAATTTGTTTCCCATCCTCTTACTTTGAGCCTGTGAGTGTTCTTTCTAGTGAGGTGGGTCTCTTTAAGGCAATAAATTGTTGCCTGGTGATATTTTATCCATTTTGCCATTCTATGTCTTTTCAGTGGTGCATTTAGTCCATTCACATTCAAGCTAATCATTGAAATGTGAGAGTTGATCCCTATCATAATGTTCTTACAGAGTTGTTTTTCTTTCTGTTTGTGTGTTGTCTTTCTTTTGGTTCTAGAGTTGGTTCATGTGTGTTTTTAATTTTTTGCCTGTACTCTTGTGAAGAATGTTGTTGTTCTTTTTTCTTTTTCTTCTGTGTTCAATACTTTCTTAAGTGTTTCTTGTAGAGGTGTTCTGGTGGCAGTGTAGGTTCTTAGGGATTGGATATCTGGGAAAGATTTCAATTCTCCCACACTGATGAAGCTAGCTTGGCTGGGTAGGTTATTCTTGGTTGAAATTGTTTATCTTTTAGAACTTTGAAGATAGGGTTCCAGGGTCTTCTAGCCTGGAGGGTTTCTGTAGATAAATCTGCTGCTATTCTAATTGGTCTTCCCTGGTAGGTAGTCTGACCTTTTTCTCTTGAGGCAGTGAATGTGGTTGTTCTGCATGACCTCAAAGATCATCCACTGAAGACCAAAGCAAAATGTGGAGCCAAATGGTTTGGTGTTTTTTGGGGAGGAGGACCTATGCAGCACAACGGGCTTCTCCATAGGGTGGCCCAGGAGCTCCTGGATGTTGTCCCACTTGCTGTAGGTTGTACATGTTTCTGTCTGACCATCTGCATTTTCTTTCCTTATGGCTAGTGGGATATTGAACTCACAGTGATGATAAATGTTGAAATTATAATGCCCAGGGTAATTGGTGTGTAGGACAAACTTCTTCACTTTGTGTGTATTTGAATCAAAGAAGATATCCACCTCAAGAGTAAAGTAGTTTAAAAAGTAGCCATTGCACTTAGATGGAACTTGCTTATGAGGGGAAGGAGAATGAATTTTCATCTTGTCTTCTGACTTGTAGAAGACCTTGTGTGGAGAGCCAAGCATGCTAAGAACATCTTGGCAGGAATCGCCAAAATACACTGAACGTTCAAAAACCCACATCTTGGCATCTGCTAATAAGCCAGGTCCACAACCTGCAGCAAGTAGGCGAAGTTGTAAGCCTGCGGGTCCAGTTCCATCTTGAAGAATATCTACACTCTCAGCATACACATTGCCAAAGAAACAGCTCAGGGGTATCACAGGAGCCTTGGTATCCTATAGGCTGTTTCCACTGTAAATGTACATTCATTTTACAGTTGCTCCATGGGGTATCTGAAGAGAAGCCAGGCCATGGGCAAAATTAGGCTCGTACTTGGGAGCCTCGGTCCATGAGTCTAACTGAAAAGAGAAAGGCAGTCCTCTGAAGTTGAGGTGGCAGAGCTGCTCAGCAGAGTTGTACACTCCAGGATGGGTTGCGCCAAAAGACTGGTCAATCTGCTCAATGGTAGGAGCTATGGCCTGAGAATTAAAATGCATGCCACAATATTTTAACTTTACTTTAGTCAAATCATATACTTCAATCACCTTAAGTCTCTGATTGAAAGCATCAAACAGTAGTTTGATCCCATCCTGAGTCAGGTTAAGGATGAGGTCATGGCCTAGACGAGACTGCTCACTGTAGAGAACCTGGACATTTTTGATGATGCGACAATGCTTCTGAAGAATGGCTACTGCCTCAGCCAGAGGCATTCCCAGAGTGAATTCCCATTGTTCGTACTCTAGAGAATGTTTAGGAACCACCTTCAGGTCTAGCATTGGTTTGGCTCGCCAGGCCCAGGCGGCCTCCCTGTGGCAGCGCAGATGGAATCTGGAGCTCACTTTGCCAGCAGCAGCGGTGGCCCTCTTCAGGTTCTTGTCAATAACTTCAAGCTGAAGGTTCCATTAATTCAAGTTGAAAGTCTAACTAAGACAATTATCATTTCAGCTTAGCTCTATAGTGCCTGCCTTTGGAATTGTATAGGGAGCTATACAATAGATGGTTAATTCATGGCAAAGCTGTGAGACCTGAGACAAGATTTTTAACCTCTTTTCATCTGTTATCTCAACAATAAACCAAAAGTAGTAACATTTATCTCATGACAATTAAATAAAATAACATATACCATATAGCAAGGCCTTAATAAATGTTAGATGAATGATTAAATTAAATTTTTTAAGTTAATAAATGGATTAATAAACAAACAAACATATGGGTCAGCTTTTACATTCTACTTCTTCCACATAGTAGCTGTATGACCTTAGGCAAATAATTAAATTTTCTGAGTCCCAGTTTTCTTATATAAAAATTGAGAGGGTTAAATAGAAGGATCTCTAGAGTTCATTTCAGCTCTAAATTCTACAAATTGCACATGGATGGTGAGTATGATATTAGCTTTACATACAAAGAATCAGGTATATATTATGCTACCCCCCTTTTTTTGTAGTTAATAATAAAATAACCCTCATGCTCTTTCTAAAAGAAACTCTTGATGATCATTTCCTTTATGCCTCATTTTTAATCAAGTAGCCCAACCTACTTTATTAAAGTTTTGACTATTTTACAGTTAATATTAGAAGATTTTCAGAAAACATAGATTAAGGGAAAGAATCAGCCTGTCACTTTATAGACTCCTTTCATTCTATCTTTTTACCATGTATGATTCCATTGAGATTTTAAATATTGAACTAATAGATACCTAAACTGAAAAAGGTTGGTATGTGCTGACAAAAATGTGGTGATAATGTCAAAACATTCAAAAATTCAGTAATCCTTACTATTCAATCTTCATCAGTCTGTTAGTTTTTGCTATTATCTGTTGCTATGTTTTCAAAGCACTAATCCTAGTGATATATTTAAACTCCTTTCCGATAATGATGCATTTATAATGCATTCTAGACTTCTGTACCCATTAATAACTTGACAATGTACAACTTTTCATATCCTTACTACTTTTTATAAAGGCTAGAATTGCAGGTAATTCTAGGTAAGAATTACAATACTTGAAGTCATAACTATAAGAAATGAGGTGGCATCCTAAAAAGAACATGAGTTTTGGAATTAGATATCTAAATTTGAATCCTGGATCTGTCGCTGTAGTCCTGGTCATGTTACTGAGAGTCAGCTCACTTGTAACATGGATACAGGAAAATGCCCAACATTACTGAGAGTCAGCTCACTTGTAACATGGATACAGCAAAATGCCCAACACATAGCATTGTAAAGATTAAACAGGATGATACACATAAAATACATACAACAGTGCTTTCATTGTCAGATACTCAATTAATATTCTCCAGCGATATGACTAGATGTCTTTCTATCATTATACTTCAATATCGTCATTCTATGCCTTCTCCTAAAATAATTCCTTTAATAGTTCTAATAATGAAGACATATTTGTATAGTACAGGAGTAGGCAAACTTTGATAAAGGGCCAAATAGTACATAGTTTAGGCTTGTAGGCCATACAGCTTCTGTTGCAACTATTCTCTGACAAAGTAGTAGTATAAAAGTTGTTAGCCGGGTTCGGTGGCTCAGCCTGTAATCCCACGCCTTTGGGAGGCTGAGGTGAGTGGATTGCCTGAGCCCGTGGGTTTGAGACCCATCTGGGCAGTGAGATCTCATCTCTACAATAAAAAAAAAAAAAAATCAGCCGGGCGTGGTAGCGCATGCCTGTAATTTCGGCTACTCGGAAGGCTGAGTTGGAAGGATTGCCAGAGCCCAGCAGGCGAGGCTGCGGTGGCCAGGAGCGGCCACTGTACTCCAGTCTGGGCGATCGAGTGAGACTCCAACCCCCCCCCAAAAGTTGTTAAATACATAACACACAAATAAGTGGGCATGGTTGTGTTATACTATGACTATTGATTAAATATGCTACAGCATTACACAAATGTGAGTCAAGATAAGCAAAGGTCAAAGCATTGCCATAAATAGGCAGGTTTTGTGATCACATGCCAATGTATAATATCTACAGTAGTGATGTTCTCTTGGTATGAATCATAGTACCAAACTTCAAATCTCTGTGGAACAATCTGGGTGCCCAACTAGTGAGTGCTTCACCATTAGATGTATTAAAACAGAAGTTTAATGCCCTCTGACAGGAAAACTGCAGAAGGAATGACAAGGAGCAAGAAGAAAACAGAATGGCTAAGGTTCCTCCTACATCTGAGGGCAGATTCCTGGGACATGAAACATGAATATAGCAGATGTTTTGGAAAAACCGTTTGAGATTAAATCATGTCCCATTTTGGGGGAAAATGTCTAAGGCAAGAAAACCATGAAATCACAGTTTAAATAGGGGGAAAATGTTAAGAATGAATAGGCAACTTGGAAGGAGTTCAAATAAGGTAACTGGAATTGACTTGGTTGAAGGTCCAACTTGGCACTAGAAACCTCTTTGAGGGAGGACTGTAGTGCTGTTACCTCCTTTCCTCAGCTAAAAATGGGGAGTGAGGTGGTCATCATAGACTTACTAGCCTTAAAAGAGATTATCTGCCATCATTTCTTTTTATGTGTAAGGGGATAGAGGTTCAGAAAGGATAAATCATTTGACTGAGGGCAAACAGTGAGGAAACGGGCCTTAAACTCACCCTACAAGTATCCAAAGCCTTTTGCTGTTCTAGTTACCTAGTTGCCTAATTACATCATTTAAAATCTACCACAATCCTGCAAGCTAATTACCATTATTCTCGTTTTACAGAAAAGAAAGCAGAGGCTTGCAGAAGTCAAGTCATGCAATTGATAAATAATAGAACTAGAACTCAAATTCTGAATTCTTGTGTTCTAGTCAAATATTGCCTGCACTCTTAAGCTCTTTCTCATGCCTGAACTAAGCTGGTTTCCTGACACTACTTATGACAAATATTTCTGAGAGCTAAGCAAAACATTTAAACTTGGTCCCATCTATAAGCATCACCACAAATATCCTTTCTTGAGAGGAAATCTGAGTTCCTGCTATAGAACTGACAAAATGTGAGAAAGAAGGAGAAACTGTGGTCCCATGCCCTTGGAAGACCCTTTTAAGGTTTCAGATGACAAGGAAATCAGATTAGCTACTACAATAGAAGGCGTGGTTTAAATTTCTGGGGGAAAATGAATTATGCAATTTTTAATGCTTCACAAGCTTGACTTACATAAAGGTATAATCCAATTGAGGATTCTGATAATTATAGAATTCCCAAGTGTAGACAGCAGACTAAGCAAGAAGAAAGATGGTTGTTTTTTGAATAATCAACAAAATTCCATGCCAGGCTGTTCTCTTGGACTCTGTTTCTATGGATCTAGTTAAATGTATTTTGAATCCTCCTCTCTGGTAAATTTAATTCATTCCTGAATGGTTTGTGAAATAAAACAAAATGATGATTCTGTAGATGAAAGTGGTCAGAGTCACAAAGCAGTGACTGTCACTGTGGATGGTTATGCTCATGCAGCAAAAATAATTTGATTACCATTTAACCTTGTAATTCTCAGAAAGGTTCTGAGGTCCCAGAGGATCTGTCCAATATGCTGTTAAAACTTGAAAATCTTTGATCATCCTTAGCTTCACTCTTCTCTTCCAGGAGGAGATAGAAGCCATAAATGTCCTGTGTTCTTGGCACCAGAGGATGATCAATTATAAGAAAAAATAGCATTTTATTTGCAATGTATCCTACAAATAGTGGATTACAATGCTACTGGCAAATTTCACTAATAATGAAGAAGACATACTCAAAAATCTCTAAGGAAGAAATGATGTGTATTAAAGATTATTTGTGCCCAGGCCCAATGCTAGGTGCCTTATTTTTATTTAATATTTATTTATTTATTTATTTATTTTTGAGTCAGAATCTCACTCTGTTGCCCAGGCTGGAGTGCAGTGTCATGCTGCTCACGGCAACCACAGCCTGGACCTGCTGGTCTCAGGTGGTCTTTCCACTCCAGCCTTCCAAGTAGCTGGAACTACAGGAAACGCCACCATACCCATCTCATTTTTTATTTATTATCGAGATGAGGTCTTGCCAAGTTGCCCAGGCTGGTCTTGAACCCGTGGGCTCAGGCAATCCTCTCACCTCAGCCTCCCAAAGTGCTGGGATTATAGGCTTGAGCCACCACATCTAGCGGCTAGGTGCTTTTTGCAAGTCTGAAATGGGTATAACTTTCACTTTCTTACAGATAAGGAAACTGGCTTTGAAAGGTCTCACAACTTGCCTAAAATACATAATCAAGGAAATGGAGAGCTAGGATTAGAACTCCAAAGCCTATAATCTTTCTATCACAGCCTCTATGCTCCCTGTCTCAGTCCCAGAATTCTGTTATTCAACAATGCTCCCTATCCATTCTATCTTTTGGTCCACTAGCAACAACCCTGACAGCTTATTGCCTACAACAGAGACTCTTACCTACAGGCATATGCTAGATCCTTTAATTGACCTTTGAGAATATAATAGTCTCTACCTTTAAGGAGCTCACAGGGAATGAAAAACAGTATCATGGGGGACAATGCAGTATCAAAAAGGCCCCTAGTGGCCTGTAGTGTGGGGGAAGGCTCCAACAGAAGTTATGCTGAGCTGAGTCATAACTAACAAGTGGTAAAGGAGGATGAAATTCTGAATAAAATAGTGCTGAAGAAAGAAGGGAGGGCTTTCTTTGCAGAGAAATATGCATTATGGACATAGGATAGATCCTAGTATTCTCTGGGAATTGGTAATAGTTGGGCATAGTTGTAACATACAATCTGAGATTGAAAGATTGATCAGAGATGAGAATGCAGAAAGAGGAAGAGGCCAGGTTGAAGAGG